GCAGAACAGTGGCTAAGATGCAGGACATTAGCTAAAGCTGCAGGAAATTAGCTAAAGCTGCAGAACAGTGGCTAAAAGCTGCAGAACAATAGCTAAAAGTTGCAGAACAGTAGCTAAAGCTGCAGAATAGTGGCTAAAAGCTGCAGAACAATAGCTAAAAGTTGCAGAACAGTAGCTAAAGCTGCAGAACAGTGGTTATGATGCAGGAAATTAGCTAAAGCTGCAGAACAGTGGCTAAAAGCTGCAGAACAATAGCTAAAAGTTGCAGAACAGTAGCTAAAGCTGCAGAATAGTGGCTAAAAGCTGCAGAACAATAGCTAAAAGTTGCAGAACAGTAGCTAAAGCTGCAGAATAGTGGTTAAAAGCTGCAGAATAATAGCTAAGAGTTGCAGAACAGTAGCTAAAGCTGCAGAATAGTGGCTAAAAGCTGCAGAACAGTGGCTAAGATGCAGGACATTAGCTAAAGCTGCAGAACAGTAGCTAAAGCTGCAGAACAGTGGCTAAAAGCTGAAGAACAGTGGCTAAAAGCTACAGAACAGTAGCTAAAGCTGCAGAACAGTAGCTAAAGCTGCAGAACAGTGGCTAAAAGCTGAAGAACAGTGGCTAAAAGCTGCAGAACAGTGGCTAAAAGCTGAAGAACAGTAGCTAAAAGCTGCAGAACAGTAGCTAAAAGTTGCAGAACAGTAGCTAAAGCTGCAGAACAGTGGCTAAAAGCTGCAGAACAGTAGCTAAAAGTTGCAGAACAGTAGCTAAAAGTTGCAGAACAGTAGCTAAAAGCTGCAGAACAGTAGCTAAAAGTTGCAGAACAGTAGCTAAAGCTGCAGAACAGTGGCTAAAAGCTGCAGAACAGTAGCTAAAAGCTGCAGAACAGTGACTAAAAGCTGCAGAACAGTGGCTAAAGCTGCAGAACAGTAGCTAAAAGCTGCAGAACAGTGACTAAAAGCTGCAGAACAGTGGCTAAAATCTAAAAGCTGCAGACCTTTAGCTATAAGCAGCAAAATGTTAGAAAAAGCTAAAAGTAGCAGACCAGTAGCTAAAAGGTAAAAGTGTCATAAGAAGAGAACAACGTTCAGTTTGATGAAGCAGATTTAAAAAACAAATTAAAGTTTTTAAAGTACTAAAAGAGATTTGACTGTTTTAATATGATGAGTTTTATTTTAAATAAGGTTAAATATCCTGAAAAGAATAAAAGTTAAACAAAGAGTTTTTCTCAGAGATCATGAGCTCTGAAACCCTTCATGGTTTTGGTCAAATAATAAAACTGTGTGATTTAATGAGGCGATGCTGCCACCTACCTGGCTTTTTGGGCATCACCATCCTGGTAGCTGGATCTGCCAGCCAGCCTTGACTCACCACTCCTTCAAACACAGAAACATCCTCCTTAATGAGTGAAACTCTGCCCAGCTGTGGTCAGCAGAACAGTGACCAGTCTCACCCTTCACTGCCTCGTCCACTGAGTAACCCACGCAGGCAGCAAAGTCTTCGGCTGTGATGGACGTGTACGCGTGAGCCACCAGGCTGTACGCTCTCTGTCGGGTGCTTTCTGTAAAAAACAAAAACACAGAGTCAGACAGGAGCATGTGGACTACATGTSAGGTAACTCTGGGTTCTGGACCCGTTTAATCAACAAAAAGGAGACGATCATCCAGCAGAAACATGTTGGATGTAAACAAACAGCTGCTGAAGCTCAGCTGTTTTTATCAGGGTTTGTGTTTCTGTTAAATGTCTATAAAAAATAGAAATCTGCATTAAACAGTTATAAATAACTCATTATTTTAATGCCAATTCTACTAATGTTGACTACTGCCTATGCTTGTTCTAAAAATGCTATGCTAAATTCACTACAGTTGAAGCTAACACTGCTAATGCTAATTTTACTACAGCTAATACTAAGACTACTACTGCTAATATTACAGCTAATGCTAGCTGTGTTATATTTAATGGGTGAACTGCTAATGCTAAGACTACTGTCCTATACTGTCACTGCTAGCTGTAAAGATGCTAATTCTCCTAACGGTAATCCTGCTAATGTCACAACTACCGGTAATGCTTATTTTACGACATCTAGTTATAATCATGCTAACGCCAATTTCACTACAATTACTGCTAATACCAATGCTAAATGTTATTGCAGCTAATGCTAATTCTGCTACAATCGATGCCAATAGTGGTAAAGATAATTCTGCTACAATTCATGCTAACAATGCTAATGCCAACCCCCTGCTCCCACTGGGACTACAAACTTAATGCAGGGTCAACATCAAGGACCMTTCAAGGACTTTCCAGGACCAATTTCCACAATTTCAAGAACCACATGCAACAGCAATTACCTACTGCAGAGTGTTACCAAGAAACAGGTTCAATATCATGTAAATTCAATGAAAAACTGAACAACATATCAGTTGAGTCAGAATCAATGAAAGAAAGTTGATTAAATGTTTACCCTGCATTCATATCTACAATACATGGACATTAATTATGTCCTGGGAGGTTTGGCAGCTCAGTTTGGGAGGAGGGGCTCTCACCTGGGCTCAGACAGAACGACCCGCCCTACTCTGCTCTGATTGGATAAAACTATGACTACGGCTCCCGTTAGTTGTTGAAGGTCACGTCAGTTTACTGTAATCCTGAGTTCTCCACTGCAACAAATGTAAGTTTTTTTTAAATTTTATTTTATTATTTATATTTTTTTACAGATGATGATAATCAGTTGTGTGAATAGAGAACTTCAACAGGGTTCCCACAGTTTAAAGCAAGTTAAATT